TATTGCCCATTGTTCAAGTGCAGTTAATGTGACTGGGAAACGTAGAGAGTTTGGAGGACTAGATCACGGTGATGATCAGGCAGCTTTGCTCAACCCTGGAGACAAGCTATTGACACAAATTGTTCAAGATGACTCATTCAGAGAATTTGAATTCAGACAGTATCTCTTTGCCTGTCAAGCAAAGGTTGGGAAAACTAAGTCATATGGTCTTACATTAGTTGTACCTCATACAGTCTGATTCAATCAATAATTCAGAATGGAATGTATCTGTTTGATTGTGTTGTTTAAGTGTACCAGTTAATCATTTCAACATATGTTTGAACTGCATGAAAGTGACGTGTTAATTGCAGCTGTTATTCAAGTTGAATCGTCCTTTTGAGGTTGCCTCTAGGGGTTATCCATTTATAATTAACTTCTCCAAGGCCCTAGCATTACGTGAGGTATTTGATACTATTCATGTTACTTATTACACACTTATAACACATAATGTTTTGTTTTGAAGAACATCTAGTCTGATCATTCTTCTGTCTTTTCTTCCCCACCTTTTTTTTTTCTTTTTTTTTTTCTTTTTTTTTTTTATTTCCCTCTCCTCTTGAGTTGTTGTAGAATATATTGCCCTTTTGTATGCGTGAAGTTTGGGTAATCACTGCATGCTTGGCTTTGATAAATGAAACCAGTTCTCGTTATAGAGATGGACCTGTGGTCCCTGATACAGAAAAAGAGTTCTGCCGCCTTCAGGGTGATCTTTACTCTCTATGTAGGATAAAGGTAAATCTTTGTGACTTTCAGAATGAATGGGGATGGCAACTGTTATGTTGTTTGACTTGTTTAACTATTGCGGTTGTGGCAGTTCATGAGGCTCGCATGTCTAATTGGATATGGAACAGACATAGAAAAAAGTCCTGTTAACAGGTATAAAGTAAATTCTTGGAGCCCAGACAACAATTCATTGATCTTCCTATCATTACCATTTCAAAAAGTTGCCTGTAAAGTGCTCTGTGGATTTTCCTTGTTCTATATCGTGACATGATCTCTTTCTTTTGTGCAGTGCTTCTCTGAGCATGCTACCCTGGCCCAAGCCAGCAGTTTGGCCTTCAGTTCCACCAGATGCTTCAACTGAGGTGCTTGCAAAAGAAAAGGCAAGTACTTGTATATGCTTATCTAGCAGAAGGCAAGTTCGTTTGTGTAAAGGAAAAATGAAATATATATATATATATATATAAACGATGCCATCTTGTCATTCTTGTTTTGAATTTTGGTTGACAGATAGGTGTAGTACTTCTAGTTTCTCTCTGTCTTGGATCTTTTTCATTATCAAAGGTTGCAGTACTATAATTTTATAATGTACAAGTTACTTATAAGGAAAAGGACTTAAGTTGAACATCAGTTGCAAATGGCCTCTTTTTATGGATTTAAAAGGTGGGTTTCAGAAGATAGAGATAGAAAATGTTTTCAGAGCCAAAAATAGATCAAGTTGGTGGGACCAATAAGATGTATTTATGTTTTTGATCGTGGATGCCCAGCGGTGAGCATGTGATATGTTCTGAAATATATGTTGTGATAAGTGATGCACCCATGCTGTGAGACAACATCTATGTTTGATCTGTAAGTTTTCCCTAGTGGTATTGTTGTTAAAGACTATTTCACCCCAATTAGTGCACAACTTTTCAATTCTGTAGCCTGTTATTTTTGTAAGTTAGGATGTTGCATCTTTTCACAAAGGACTATGGCTATAAGTAAATGAACCTTTGTAATTATCAGTTTGCATTTTTGTCTTATTAAAACTGTTATGTGATATGTGTGTGCTGTCCAAGCAATCGTTGCTCTTGTTGTAATTAGTGCACATTCATTCTTTCTCAATAGATTATTTCTTGAATTTGGTACAATGGCTGAGATACCTAGATCAGATCTTCAAGTCAAGGTGCTAACAAGTCCTTTGTCATTGAAATGGTAGTATCGTGTAAAGAAGAACTAAAGAGTAAAGATTGTATATTCTCTTGTTACAAGAGGAGAGCTTCTGAGCTTGTTATCTAAACATAGGGTCTGTGCAAAATTCTGACTGCATAAACCACCTGAACTAGTCCCTAATTGCAAGTCGCCTTTAGTTATACTTGTCTTGTTTATTTTGTGTAGATGATTCTTCAAGCAACTCCTAGAATCAAGCACTTTGGTATTCAAAGGAAACCTTTGCCTCTTGAACCTGCTGTGCTTGTACGTGAGGCAAATAGGCGAAGGGCTTCTCTCTCTGGTGGAAATATGTATGAAATATTAGATGGTAGCCCAAATTTTAATGATGGGTAAGGAAAATTCATGAATTGAGGCAAATGTTTTATTTATTTATTTTTTCTAGGTTTGTATATTGGTGGTTTTTTTTCTTTTCCTTGTCATTAAACCTTTTCATGTTAGGTAATTGGTTTGCATATTGACAGATCAGGTTCAGATGCATCATCAAAAATGTCCCCATCAAATAAAGTACAACCAACTTCTATGTCACGCACAAATTCTTCTCCAGGTTTTGAGGGTTCAATTGATCGGCCTATGAGACTTGCTGAGATTTATGTTGCGGCAGAACATGCGTTGAAGCATACTATTTCAAATCCTGAACTGTGGAAAACTTTATCATCCAGGGAGGAGTTAGAGGTGTCAATAAATGACTTCTTTTCTTTTCTTTTTTTTTTTTTCATTGTGTTCTTACCTCCAAAAAGTTCTCATATTCAGTCTTTATGGCTGTATCTGATTACTGAAGAACCTCTTTGTATGATTAGATGATATTTCTAGTCTTTATTTCGAATCTTGCTACAAGCTTACATCAAAGCTAGTTTCTCTCAGGGTGGTGTGCATTATGAGACGTGAAGTTCTAGTTTCATTTTTTTCTTTACACGATCCAAAATTCTAGGATTTACTTGATTTCTACAGGGATTGGTTTTCATCATTGTCTCTGTCTCATATGAAAATTATTCATGGTCATTGCAGCAAAAGTACCTGGAGCTAACTAAAGGTGCTGCTGAAAATTATCATCAGTCCTGGTGGAAAAGACATGGGGTTGTTCTTGATGGTGAAATTGCAGCTGTATGCTTCCAGCGGGGTAATTTTGACCTTGCTGCTAAGTCATATGAGAAGGTCTGTGCGCTTTATGCGGGCGAAGGATGGCAGGATTTATTGGCTGAAGTCTTGCCCAATTTAGCTGAGTGTCAGAAGATGCTCAATGATCAAGCTGGGTATCTATCATCTTGTGTTAGACTGCTTTCACTAGATAAAGGCTTATTCTCAACCAAGGAACGCCAAGCCTTTCAGTCAGAAGTTGTTAGTCTGGCGCATAGTGAAATGAAAAACACAGTTCCTCTCGATGTATCCTCATTAATTACCTTTTCTGGAAATGCTGGGCCTCCATTGGAGCTATGTGATGGGGATCCTGGTACTTTATCTGTAACTCTCTGGAGTGGCTTTCCTGATGATATAACTCTTGATTCTCTTAGTCTCACTTTGATGGCTACTTATAATGCTGATGAAGGTGGTAAGGTATGCCTTCTGGGACATAACACAATGCAAGTTGGTCAATAAGTCATATTATTTGATCTTTTAACTTAGTGATTTGATTGGTATTTCAGGCTTTAAGGAGCTCTAGTGCTACTGTACTGAAGCCTGGCAAGAACACAATTACCTTTGCTTTGCCACCCCAGAAACCAGGTTCTTATGTCTTAGGAGTTCTCACTGGACGGATTGGACACTTGAGTTTTAGATCTCATAGTTTCTCCAAAGTTGGGCCAGCAGATAGTGATGATTTCATGAGCTATGAGAAACCAACCAGACCTATCTTGAAGGTACCGACTCATGTTTAAATAAATGATCAGTGAGAGTTCAGGATTGTAGTGATAGAATTCAGTTTGTTCTTTTGTTGCATTTCTTCAATCATGTGATATATATTTCTCTTAGGTTTTCAATCCAAGACCTCTGGTTGATCTTGCTGCTGCTGTATCATCTGGTTTACTAATAAATGAAGCTCAGTGGATTGGAGTTATAGCACGGCCAATCAACTATTCTTTAAAAGGTGCTGTTTTGCATATTGATACTGGGCCAGGACTACAGACCGAAGAGTCACATGTCATTGAGATGGAGAGTTACAATAATGAATCAGAGAGTTCTGCTGAAATGGAGAACCACGGTCATGCTGATCTAGATAGTTCTCTGGCTATGAATAAATACTTCAAACAACTATGTCTCCTTGATGGTAAAATAGATTTTCCTGATTGGGCTAGTGATGTTACCTCAATTCTATGGATTCCAGTTCGTGCTACTGAGGACAGGCTAGCTAGAGGATCTTCTTCAGGTTAGAACACAACAATGGAATTTTTTAATGGTTTCAAATTTGTGTGTGAGGAAAATATGACATATTTTGTGTTGCACAGTGGCCCCCCAGAAACAAAGTATTGTAGATGGAATGAGGACAATAGCTCTGAGACTTGAATTTGGAGTATCACACAACCAGATATTTGAGAGGTATCATCTGTTTTCTTTTTTCCCTTTGCTTTTTCTTTTTGAACAGCAGTATCATCTTTCATATGATTCCCCTGTTGTGAATTCTATTTCTCACAAATGCACACTTGTGCTACCTTACACTACTTCATAATATGTCTCTTTTACTTATTTTAGGATTTCTCTGTTGAGTGTTTTCCCATCTAAGACATACTTTTAATAACCTCTGTATCATGCAGAACTATTGCTTTGCATTTCACTGATCCTTTTCATGTAAGCACGCGGGTTGCAGATAAATGCAATGATGGTTCAATGCTTCTGCAGGTATTTTGTCTCAAGTTTTAAGCAGCATTCTTTGTTTACAGGCTTTAATTAGTAAAGTTAGTGCATGTTCGTTAGTTAATTGTATTTAATTTAGTAGTTGTTTCCCCCAAGATATTTATAAGAGAGAGAGAGAGAGAGAGAGAGAGAGAAAGAGTAGTCTCCTTATCTATCCTTACTGATGACATTGAATTTGGCTGGTGGTCATACCTCATGCTAATATTTCAAGCCTAAAATAGAGATTGAGAAATTTCCTAAATTAGCTCCTATCACATAAATGGAGCTTGGTGAAATTGAAAACATTTATATGAATAAATTAACAATTATAACTTCAAAATTCTTTTGCAAACAGCCCAAATTTTCATTATGCTGCTGTGTTGACTGGGATGACTTAAATCCAGCCTCAAGTATGCCTTAAACAGTGAAATATTATTTGTTCAAGGGATCTATTGTTAAGATCAGAGTGTGGTCAAGGACAGCTTCACTGCAAGTATAGTTGTAGCAACTTCATAATCTTCCATGTAATTTTTATCACTGATGCCCCTTTATTTTGCAAACCTGACAGTGATTTTGCTACCATATGATAAAAAATCTAAAAGAAATTTAATTTAGCTATGTGGAAAGAACCTTCAGAGATGCTATAGAAATATAGAATTTTAAAAAACAAAAATAAAAAAGGAGAAAGATCCAGAAATTTATTTTTTTATGATTAAAGTTTTGAAGAGAAAAATTGGGGTACAAAAATGACTAGTACATCGCTATAACAGTTTGGTTTGAGCCTGTTACCATGACAATGCATAATTGCTAGCAGTCTGCAATGCTTTAATGCCAATAAACTGGTTAGGAGCCTGTGCTATACCTTTAGCATCATTTTATGAATCCCGGCATGCACCATTTATGTCATTTTTGGAGATTGACATCTTTCATTTATATATATGCAATTGTAATGTGAATTTCTCATCTGTACTTAAAGTTTGGTAAAGAATTTCATATTGATCCATGTAACTTTCAGGTAACATTACACTCTCAAGTGAAGGCCTCATTGACCATTTATGATGCATGGCTTGACCTTCAAGATGGATTTGTTCATACTGGACAAGGAGATGGAAGACCAACTTCTGGCTTCTTTCCGCTTGTCATCTCTCCAAATTCTAGAGCAGGACTGTTATTCAGCATAGGCTTGGGGAAGACAACTGCTGAAGGTAATTGGACTTTACATTATATCAGATGTTCAAAACTGGAATAAGAAACCGATAACTTTTGCTAATTCTTATACATTATGGGGCCCCATAACTTGATTGATGTGGAAAAGCAATATGGTCAGACTGATTTCAATGGTAGCTAAGGTATTGAGAAATAGAGGCAATATATACTATTTCTACAATTAAGGTTATAAGATTGATGTACTCATAATAAATGTGGATAGAGCATTGGTTTTGCACAGTATGTTATAAATGTTTATCATTATCTTATTAATTATGGTAGTAAAATGCAGCTTTCAATAACCATAAAGATTACTCTTGTTTGTGTTGTAATGAAGAGAGCCACGTCAATTACAAATTATGGATACTTTTCTTTTTCTTTTGAAATTTATGCTAAATCATACAAAGGTCTAGACAAGGTACTAACCGAGCAACAATTATCATGCTTCATGAGTTCCATTGGTTCTACTATTGCTTTAAGTGTAACATTTTTTCCCATTATCACTGCCTTTTACATTTATAATTCTGACCTACCTAATATATTATTATGCTTTTCAGATGAAACTGAGGCAATAAAATCTGATAGCATTTTGAGTATCAGATATGGAATCTCTGGTGATAGAAACAGTGGGGCACACCCTCCTGTGGCTATGAAATCAAATGGAATTGAGAGTGTTGGTGAGGGTTTAATCTTCAGGAGTGCTCTTGTTTTGCAACGGCCGGTGCTTGACCCATGCATTGCTGTTGGGTTCTTGCCTCTACCTTCTGATTGTCTCAGAGTTGGGCAACTTGTTGCCATGCAATGGAGAGTTGAAAGGTTGAAGGATTTTGAGGAGAATGAAGTTCCTAAGAACAATGTAAGTCTTGCAAGAACTCAAATACTTACTCTGAGTTTTCTGAGCCATACTAGATTGGTTGCCCTCTCCAGTAAGTTTTACATCTTGCATATGAGAGGTCTCAATTTCTTCAATCATAAATTTCATGTTATCACCATGTAATTCTTTTGATTTTTTTTGTCTTTTTTGTTTTTTAAAAACGCAGTTGGGGACCACCCAATAATAGTATTTACTTTGTTGCTTACCTTAGGAAAATGACCAAAGCACCTTTCTAGAACCGTCATACAATGCTTCTCTTTATGTAAAGATGATTTCAGATTCCTGTGAAAGAAAAGTTAGATAAGAAAGTGAAGTGATTCTTAATTTATGTATTCATTGACCATGTTTGCTGCTAAAAAATAAAGACCTTATTTGCTGGTCCTGATAACGCTGTTTGCTGCAAGGAAAAAGACTGGTCTTTCCTCTAGGTTCTAAAATCTGCAGAGAACATTGACAATGGGAAGCTATCCATGAATTCACGATAAATGTGCAATTCTCCTGCTGTTATTTAGTTGCTGCTATAAATTTTGTCTATTACTTTTGGAACAGGATGAGGTATTATATGAAGTTAGTGCAAATTCTGAGAATTGGATGGTTGCGGGGAGAAAGAGAGGACATGTTTGTCTCTCAACAAAGCAAGGTTCATAAACTACTTATCTCAAATTATTGTAGAGGACCACACCTGCTCTCTAGCTAGCAGAAATTTGTCATCTCTTGTTCATTGCATTAATTGCCTGCCTTCCCTGTTGCAGGTTCACGGATAGTTATTTCAATACTATGCTTGCCATTGGCAGCTGGTTACGTTCGTCCCCCTCAACTCATGTTGCCAGATATTGATGAGGCAAATATAAGTAACAGTCCTGCTGGACCCCACTTGGTTTGCGTTTTGCCTCCTGCTCTCAGCTCCTCCTACTGCATTCCAGCATGATTACTGCTCTTTACTCAGGTTTATCTTTACCTCGAGTTTTCCACATGTGGAGTTGGATAAAGCATCTTCAATTGAAACCTTGCTTGAGATATATTTAGGGATCAAATTTCAATTCAATTTGTATATCTGTATTTTCCCCAATTGTTTAAAAGATCAAGAGAAGTAATTGAGTTAGATCCGAATAGGTAGTCCTTTTGAGTGATGGTAACACCAGCTATTATATAATGTACAGTAGAATTTTGTACTGTGTACAACAAACAATATATACTTGCAAAGATACAATTTCTCAACTCCAGTTTGTTTTAATGAAAAAAATAAATAAATTTAAGAATCTGTAGACTATTATTAATCTTATTGAACGGGAACTGTCTATCAATGAATACTCAAGCCCACGAGTCATGAGCCTGACTGGTATTGTAATTTGAATCTGGCACCATTTTGTGCTGCTCTGTGGAAGCACTTGCTAGGTTCAGTGCCAAAGCTCCCCAGTGAAGGACTTTGCCGGACAAACCAAAATTTGCAATTATTTGCCTGCTAAAACTGGTGGTGCCTAGAGAATTAAATGCCAGAGAAATATGCCTAGCCACCGAAGATACCATCGCAGTGTTCTTTTATTTATTTTTCTTTTGAAAAAAGAAGTGGGACGGAGGAGATAGGAAAAAGGTTCCACCGAGATTTGAACTCGGGTTACTGGATTCAGAGTCCAATGTCCTGACCACTAGACCATGGAACCACTTGCAAGAGAATATGTTACATTCAAATATTAAATGTTACTGTCATAGCAGAGCAAGTGCATTTACCCCCCTTGCTTCCTTTCTAGCTCTATCCTGCGAAGGTATGGGATATGTAGAGCCAATTAAGTAATTCATACCAAATTAAGAAATTCAAGAAAAGTTTCTCATATCCTCCTCAACCCAAGAAATGGGACGCTGATTAATGGTTACAAAGGAGAAGAATATGCCCCTTTGGGTTATTTGATGATAGTTAATACAATCATGGATGGAGGATAATATAACAAAATACTCAAATAAATTATTGGGTATTTGTTTATTTTCCCCTTCAAGAAATTTTTTTTATTAAATTGGCATCCTTTAGAATTTTCATCAAGCTATATTATTATATAGTCCAATAGACGAAAAATAGCTTTCTATTTTTTAGGTTAATATCAACAAAAACTTTTATTTTACGAGCATACGTCGTAAGAGGCATCAAAAAATTCTAATTCTAATTTTATCTCTTCAATTCAATATAATTTACTTAAATGATTGAAAATCAAAAGAAAAAGGAAAAACATTTATTTTTTAGGTTCCATCTTATCGGACTCCTTTTTTATTTTTTATTTTTTTTTAGGCACTTGTCTTGTCTGCCATCATTTTTCTGGTACTCATTCTTGGATAGTTGGATTGGATTGGATACAGGACAAGATCATCTACAACAGAGACCATCAAGGAGAGGTAAAAATCTACTTCTTTTTTTTTTTTACTCTACCATCTTATTAAATTTGAAATTTTTTATTTTTATTTTATATTATAATATTTTTAACTCTTATCTTATTAGATTTATAAGTTTTAACTATTTACTTATTAAAATCGAATAAAATAACTTTTATTTTATACTGACTATTAACTCTGTTAACTGAAAATAAATTTTTATCAACTAACAGTTAACTAATAACCAAAAAATAAAATTAACAAAATATTATAAAATTAATTTTATTAACTCTATTAACTGAAAAAAAAATTTTAACAGTTAACAATCAACTAACAGTTAACTAATAAAGTTAACAATTAACTAACAGAATTAATAAAATATTACAAAGTAAAGACTATTTTTTTCAATTTTAATAAGTGAAGGATTAAAATTTATAAATTTAATAATAAAATAAAAAATTAAAAATATCATAATATAAAATAAAAAATTAAAACCTTTAAATTTAATAAAATTAAAAATTAAAAATAAATTTTTACCTCAGCAAGCAAACTTCTGTTTTCATTCATTACATATTTTCTTGCCCTGCATCACAAAGCTAGTAGCCTACTAGTACGGTATATCCTTCTTTTCTATTTTCAGTTGTCAGGTCTCTTCTTTAATGACAAGAGACGCTTATCCTTTGCTTCTGTGGGGTTTCAGTTTCTGTACGTAGCTTCCGATCTTAAATCTAATGGCTTTCTGTGGACTGTAGTAAGACAAATCTAAGCTAATGGCATTGCATTCAAATCACTGAATGACTAAATAATTGAATTTCTCTTATCTGGAAAATGTTTAGAGGTACCAAGGAGTACCAAAGTGATAAGTTTGCAGGAAATATGGGACAGAAGCAAGTCCTAGTGGGCCTTTTCCACTCACATGAGCAATAACAAAGCAACTTTCCCAAGATTACAATGCCAAATTTTGTTCCTTTTTCATGTAGCCTAGCACTTGCCACTTGCCAGACATGAGAAAGTTACCCCCATCTTAATCTTGAAATTGAAGATAATCTTTAAATTGGGTCTTCTTTCCCCTCATTTTAATATTGGCTTTGCAGTAGGGTGATATTATCTAAATTCACCACTTTCATCTGATTAAAAAGCAAATCATTGAACCTGTAACCTGATCTTATATTATAAAATTGTTTGGTCCTATATTAGTGTAATATTTACCAAGTTTGTAAAGTCTTCCATGCAATTATAATTGGGAAGGAAAGAATTTACTACCCAACAAACTAAATCATGTGCACTTCCCAACTTCTCAGTGATAAGATTTTGTTCAGAGGTGGGCTAAGAGAGTGTCATGGTTAGGATGGTGACAAGACACCAACCATGCAATGGAACTTGGCTCACTCTTCATCATTCACGTTCCAAGTGTCTCCACGTTGTCCTGTTCTCTGCCCTCTATATAATTTCTGTGGCTCAGCTTAGGTGCCGTTTCCAATTAAATTGGAATAATATCTCAAACCAGCTACCCAATATCAGCTGTAAAGAGGTTAGACTGTGATAAAATTGTGACCATATATTGGGGTTTGAATTTGTTGAAAATTTTCCCATTTTAGAAGCAAAGGTAAGGTAAAATATAGTCTTATTTATTTATATTTACTTTTTTTTGTTTCATGGGTGAGAGATAGAAGTTTCTTTGTGTAGCAGTGAGATAATATTATGGGTAAAATTACACATAATAAGTTAAGTATGCTTATTATATTTGGTTAAAGAATGAGTATTTACAAATTACTTTTCCATTGCAGTCCCAATGATAATTGATTCAGAAGATATGTTCGAGATGGTAATTCATGAATGTTGGGGGTCAAGGTACAGGGAATAATTAGACCCCTATGGAGAAACAGGGTATTTTGGGAGCAAATTAAGCAGGAAAAATTAGTGAGACACATGATGTAATTAAATTTGGCAGGACAAGAACATTTAAACATGAAATCTAGGAAGCTTGACTTTTGGTTTAGAACACATGCTGCAATTTATCTGTTTCAGAATCCATTTGATGAAATCAAAGTGGATCTCATCTCACCTTATCTTATTTGGATTTGGGTTTGAATTGCTGCTTAATTAATATATTCTTAATTTGAGAATACAATTTGTTGGAAGAAAATGCACTTTGCAGATCAAATCCAGCTCTCTTAGATGTGGTTTTGTCATAATTTTTAAAAACTTTATTCACTGCACGTAATTTTCTGGGTTAGAATTCACTTATATATTTATATAAAATATTAATAATTTATTTTTTATTTATAACAATTGAGATTTATTTATTTTTTTATTATATGTATTAAAATAATTATATTTTATCTAAAAAATTATAATAAATTTTAATCATTAAAAATATAAAAAAATAATTAAAATTCTATATAAATATAATATATAAAATTTATATATAGATGAATTTTTATCCTAACTTTTTATTTCTTTTTCAGTAAACCCAATAGTTTGGTAAGATGAGTGAGTACATTAACCAAAAATTTTTTAATTTACAAGGAGAATAATAATAAATAAGATCAAAATTTAAAACTAAAATTTAGATTCAAAATTTAAAATTAATGATGTGATATAAATTATATTATTTAAAATATTAAAAAAAATAAATTTTATATTATTTAATAATTAATTTTTTTATTTTTTTAACTCATAATATTATATATATTAATAAATTTAATAATATAATTTATATCATATTATTAGTTTTTAATCTTTATTTTTTTTGTCATAGCTCTTAACAAATAATAATTTTAGTAAAAAATTAATGCACATTTTTTTTACGGAATTATGCAATAATAATTATTAGAAGAGGATTGAGACAGAGTTACAATTTTGACAAAAACTTACTTTTAATTACTTAACTTATATTATGATACTTTTAACCCCTCACTTTACTAGATTTGTAGGTTTTAACCCTTCACCTATTAAAATCAAAGAAAATAGCCATCACTTTATACTGATTATTAACCCTGTTAGTTGAAAATAGATTTTTATCAACTAACAATCAACTAATAGTTAATTAATAAAATTAACAAAATATTATAAAATTAGTTATGTTAACGCAGTTAATTGAAAGAAGATTTTTGACAGTTAATTATAAATTAATAATCAGTTAATAAAATTAACAAAATATTACAATCATCTAACAAAACTAATAAACTGTTACAAAGTGAGAGTTATTTTCTTTAATTTTAACAGATGAGGGACTAAAAGTGTTATAATATAAGGTGAAAAATTAAAACCTATAAATCTAGTAAAGTGAGGGGTTAAAAATGTTATAAAATGAAAGACTCAAACCTTCAAACTTGATAAGGTAAGGGATTAACGGTAAGTTTTTGCCTATAATTTTAGGAGAACGAGTTTTGGGACTTTGATATGACTCGTCATCCACAACCCTACACCCATCCCTTTGGGACTTTGATATGACTCATCATGCACAACCCTACAGCCATCCCATCAAACCTTATTTCCTCCACATAGAAGGCATGGCAAGCCTTGCCACCAAAAAGCCAGAAAAGTCTAGTTTTAACCCTTCATTTTATTAAATTTAAAAGTTTTAACTCTTAATTTCATATTATGATATTTTTAACCTTTTATCTTATTAGATTTATAGGTTTTAACATATCACCTTATATTATATTATGATACTTTTAACCCTTCACCTATTAAAATTAAATAAAATAGCCCACACTTTGTAATATTTTATTAGTTTTGTTAGCTGACTATTAATTTTATTAGCTGACTGTTAATTGACTATTAGCTGACAAAAATCTTCTTTTAGCTAACAAAGTTAACAAAATTAACTTTATAATATTTCGTTCATTTTGTTAACTGACTATTAATTGACTGTTAGTTGATAAAAACTTATTTTCAGCTAATAGAGTTAATAACTAGCATAAAATAAGGGTTATTTTCTTCAATTTTAATAGATGATGGATTAAAACCTATAAATTTAATAAGGTGAGAGTTAAAAGTGTTATAATATAAAGTGAAGGATTAAAACATTAAAACTTGATAAGATAAAGGACTAAAAGTAAATTTTTACCCCAAAAAGCCGCCCTCTTATCTTTTTTGAATCTTCAGCATTTGCTTCAATTCTCAGGCATGGAATACGACATTCAAATAATTCAACAGCTTCTAACAAACTCCATGATTCATGTGTTGTCATATTTTGCCTAAAATTCAAAATCAGCTTTCTTTCTATGGATAGAATTATGAATAATTTATTTAATTTGAGAAAAACAGAAAACAAAAAAAAAAAAGAGTAGGACAGAGAGGTAACTTTATTAGAATTTATAGTTAATTATTAAAGATTAGCATTTATTAGTTGAATTTTAAAAAGTTAAAAAAAAATTTAAAATTATGTAATGTTGCTAAAATGTTATAAGAAAAAATAAAAATAAATTCATTTTTTATTTAAAAATATTTTTTAAATATTTTTAATAAAAAATTTATTAAAATAATTATATTTTATCTAAAAAATTAT